TGGGGGAGGAGAGGCCGCCGCAGAGGCTTGGCTCAGACAGCACCCTTCCAGGGAGGGGCGGGCGAGGGGGACACCGCAGAGACCACAGGACCCCGGCCATGGCGACGCGCGTCTCCACGGACCTCGTCCCGCACCACTGGGGATTCTCCTGCCCCAGGTCTCCCAGGGTATGACTTCATCCCTGGAAAGAACTGCTACTTCCACTTGCTCCCAGGACAGGAAAACCTCAAGCCCCTCAGGAAGAGAGCGTCGGGCAAAAGGAAGGAAAGCAAAAGACTGTGGCTGCCAGCAGAAGAGGAGAAGAAGAAGGAGGCCAGGACGGGATTTAATGCACCGTCCTTCCCACGACAAGGCTGGCGGGTTTTCTCCATGTCACCAATCCCTGCAGCTCGGGCCAGGAGCGAGCATGTGGAGAGGAGAAGGTTTCCGTTCTGAGCTCAGATGCCTCCATCTGACCAGCGCCCGGTTCAGACTGCCGCACCCGAGGGGCGCACATGCAAACTTTTACTTCACCAGCCTCGAGGTGGATTCCGAGTGCTGGGCCTCGAGGAACTACCTGGATTCCCACGTGTGCGTGCCTCTTGCGCGCTCTGCAGTTTCGGTGTCCCTGGTGCCTGGTCCTGTGTGTGGTGCCTGAACATCCAGCAGACACCTGCTTCAGTACCGGCTTGTCTGGGCGGGGCCTGCTGACCAGCGCAGTGACTGGACACTGCGGTCCTGCAGGACCAGCGGTGACGTCTTGGGCCAGCAGCTTGCTGTCGGGACTCCTTTGCTGTGTAACAGCTGTCACTCTGGGAGATGTTTGCCATTGATCTGTGTTCTCAACATCAAGGCAACTGCCTGTTTCGTGTCTCAGCAGCGACCTCTGTGCAGATCCCCCAGGAAGAGCAATCCATGACGGCCTCACACCCGGCTGGGAAGACCCAGACAGGGGCACGAGGTCCTCGACGTGTACAAGGCAGTTCCGCGGGCACGTGCAGAGCAGGAAGAAGGCATCCTGGTGGCCACGGGCCAGGACTGCTACACAGGAATCCGGAGCGACCGTGATGCCCCTCGGCTCAGAACCACACCCTCCCTAATCCGCCTCCAAGGCTGACATCAGACTGTGACCTTCGCTTCTCAGCTCGGAGGCATCCAAGGAGCCCAGGGCTGCTCATGGCGGCCAGGCAGGACCTTTACTGTTCCTCCTACAGCTGACTGCAGGGGGCAGCCTGGAGCACTGTGGGCTTGCCCGAGGAGTGTAAATAGCGGCTGTTTATTTCTGTCCCTAAAGCGGGGATTTTAAGTGATGTCCAGTGCACACAGATCCCATCCTCTGGCCGCCGGGAGCAAGGAGCCAAGGATTTGACACGGAGACACTTCAGGAAAGTTGTGGGCTCAGGGAGCTTGAAAGTCCTTTTCATAAAAGATACTTATTTCTTTCTCTTGTTAAATTCTCCAGACTAGTTCCCTATACCTCCCCTTTGTCATTTTATTTTATTTTTTTTTCCTCCCTTTTTTTAAAACACACACAAAAAAGACTTTTTTCTATGGACTAAAGATGGGAAAAAGCTAAAATAAAGCTGCTGCTTTCGCCAGAAGCCCCATGGGGAAGCCAAGGAGGCCAGAGAGACTGTTGGAACGGTCAGTGCCTGGATCCCAGGGAGAGCAGCATCTGTCCTTCACAAAGCCAGCTGCAGCAGAGGAAAGGCAAGGTGTGTCGCTGAGGCTGCGGAGCGAAGATGTAAGGCAGGAGTTCAGAGTCACTGACGTGGCCATCTCAACCAGGCATCAGCCCCTCACATCAAAAGCACCCTCCTTTTGTTACCGCTCATGGGCATTGAAAGGAAAGATAGATTTTTTTTAAATGCTAGAAGTTTTGAACAGTCGTTTAAAACCGCCTCCGTTGAGGCAGCTTCCTGAATGCAAAGGGCAGCAGGCCTTGTTATGGTGACTTGCGACTTGAATACCAAATTGAAGGGCTCAGAATCAAAGAAAATCCAGTGGCTTTCTGTAACCTCAGAGCTGCAGTTGGTGAGATGTTTATACCAAGTGTTTTTAAAAGCCTGTCTTTCCACCAATAAAGTAGAAAAACAAGTCATAGCATGTTGCTTCTGCGAAGGTCTGGATGCTTATAGCACCAAACCAACTGCAGTAGTCTGTACTTAGATCTCAGACGAAGCCAAAATAGCTGAGAGCAGCCTTAGTAGCTGCGCTGGAGAGCTTCTGGTTGCCTCCAGACCGACCCACTCTGCCTTTTCCTCCTGCCGTGCCCTGCATGTGCCCCAGGAGACTGGCCCCGGATGGCTGCAAGGACCCTGAGCTCCAGGACGGAAGAGCCAGTGGGAAGTGCTAGCAGGAAAGTAGAGGGCAAGGGGACCACAGAGTAGAATCGTGTTTCCTGGCTCCCTTCCTGTTGACCCGGGGTTGCTATGCCCAAAGGTCAAGGCTTCTATTGATTTTTTTTTTTTGGTTTTTCTCTGGTACCGGGAACCGAACTCATGACCTTGCGCTTGCCAGGCAGGCGCTTTGCCGCTGAGCTTAATCCCCAGCCCCAAGGCTTCTATTGAAAGACAGCTCACCTGGGTTCCAGTTAACTGTTCTTCGTGTCCCTAGCACCTTACTAAACCCAGGTTAATTCACCAGTTAAACTCTTCAATTACCCTCTTGAATGTTCTATTTCCTGCCAGACCCTAATACAACTTACACATAGAACCAAATCTTACACACTGGGTGAGAATTTGGGTTAATTAATAGTTGAGCTACAGCTACCGCTATTTTCAGTGTTTCACTCTATCTTATTTGATCCTTACAACAAGCCATAAAGGAGGCAGGACAGTAGTACTAATTCAGAATTTGGGATTATTAGCTGGTTGCAGTGCACATGCCTGTGGTCCCAGCTACTCCAGAGGCTGAGGCAGGAGGGTCAGTTAAGTCCAGGAGCTAGAGACTAGTCTGGGCAATGTGGTGAAACCCAGTCTCAACATAAAACTTTTTTTTTTTTGGCACCAGAAATCAAACTCAGGACCTCAAGCTTTCCAGGCAGACACTATGCTGCTGAGCTATATCCCCAGCCCTCAACATAAAACATTTTTTAAATGTACAGCGTCATTTTAAAGATAAACCAGGATTCAGGCTACGGGCACAGTTCAGCAGTAGAGGATGTGCTCAACAAGCAAAAGGCCCTGGCTTCACTTAGATAAGAGCCGTTACAGTACCAAGAGTGTGTTCTCTTTAGAGGCCATAATCCGGGCAAGGGCACACAGTCACAGACCGTACTCATAGCTCCGGTGGCCAGAACTAGGTGACCTGTTGACCAGGAAGTCCAGTCCAGCTCCTTCAGTTGACATAGCCTCAGGACCCTGAAGGGATCCTGGGGATGGGCCCAGAGCCTGATAGAGATCCAAGCTAGAGCTCAGATTATGAACAGTAACTAACGCTAACTCCATTAAAGGCAAGAAGAGTTACAGACTATCACTGTGGACTCAGTTTTCTCTTCCTGATTGATGGTAGTTCTGAAGCTGAAAATGCAAATATGGTTGCAAAGTTATGTCCGAATTCTGACAGTTGCAGGCTTGGCTCTTGTGTTGCAGGCTAGAAGCCAGTTGTTGCTTTCCGTGAAAGAAAAATCACTGTCCCTTGCTGAGGACAATGGAAAAGATTAGATACAAAGCTGCGCTCTGACAACAGCAGGAACCTTTTAACGTTGCTCTTAAGGAAAATACACTGACCTGTCTGGCTAGGAATGCAAAAGAATGCACACTGTGCGAGCAGACGTTCCGGGAGACCTCGCTGGAGGAGGCTGCACAGGCTGCGGAGCCCAGAAGCCCGCTGTGCGTCTCACTGCCACACAGCGCTGAGCTTCTGAACCCCGAGCCAGTGTCTGGATGTAAAACCCGGCCGCCACTGTCTGCCTTCCAACCATCAACCACAGAAAGCTAGTACAGGGCCTGCCAATGAAATAGGCAACCAAACATTGGTTTTTCACTTCTCCAGCTCCCAAATAAGTCAAATCGCTGAGTTAAACCCACAGGATGTCTAAGGATCCCACTGGGTCTTTGTTGCTCAGAAGACCATTTCAGTTCTCAGCCACAAGCTGAAGCCTCTAGTCACAGCTCATTATGTTCCATGGTTATCTTCACCTATAAACAAGCCCTTCACACAGGAAGTTACTGAAAGCCTTATGAGGAAACCTCCTCCCCGCAAGGAGTCGGAAAGCTGATTGGTGCTGTAGATGTCATAGTGGTCACTGGGGAAGGAGGGGTCCCTGAGCCATATTCTTAATGGGTGCCAGTTGGTTTTGTGGTGTTCTGTTGGAGAAAATTAACCAAGCTCAGACACTTCAGCCTACATTTACGTGGTTTTTATACTGCATTTAGTTAAGGCTGGGATTGGATCCCATAAGACCAAGAAAAGGACCTATTTGACATTAATGCCCCTTCCTCTCCTCCACTGGTCTGACCATTGTAAAAAAGGGAGTTCAAAACATTGTGTTCTGCTGGGTATGGTGACACACGCCAGTAATCCCAGCACTGGAAAGGCTGAAGCAGAAGTATCACCATGAGGTTGAGGCCAGCCTCGGCTACAAAGTGAAACAATGTCTCAGGAAAAAAAAAAAAAAAGATTGTTGTCCTTTGAATCCTATGAAAAGAGCCTTAGACTTACGATGAACTAGAAATGTCACTACCACATGACTATGGGTGCTGGGGCGCAACCAGAGAACAACCAGCCGTCTAAGACAGCCACCGCTGTTATGACTTAGACCTAAAGTGTTCCCTCCCACATCTTGTGCTCAGAGGCGGGGCCTGGTCAGGAGAGGCAGGTCACGAGGGCTTTGACCCGGAAGGATATGCTCCTGCCCCAGCTCCTTCCTTTGCTGCATGGCTGCCTGGGGTGAGCAGCTTTCCTCTACCATGTACTTCTCCCACTGAATCCCCTGAAAACCGTGAGCCAAAACAAACCTTTCCTCCTTTAAAAGAAACTTTATCTGCAGTTGGTTTTTGAGTGCCACGGTTATTTACCTGACAGAATGAGGAGCTCAATGATCTCCGCATCTCCCAGAAATGCAGCCACGTGAAGGGGAGTTCGTTTCTCGGAATCCTGAAATAAAAAGTCAAAAATAATAGGACAGGTCAGTGGCAGCCTGGGGTGCCTTTGGTAGACATGTACAGACATGTCACTCACTCTGAGGTGGATGCTTGTGGGACAAGCTTGAAGGCCAAACACCTATGAGTGTTTGTAATTTCCCCTTAGCACCCTAAATTCGGGTTATAATTTCCCCTTAGCACCCTAATCACAGAGCACAGGATTCCACTTTCCAGTCTGCGTATATCTGCCTACCTGCTTCCTTCACTGAATCCCAGATCAGTCAAAGATGGACCATCATGCACTGGTTGATAAATTTCAATTTATTTTCAAATCTTCAGTATGGTTTAAAAAATTTTTTCAAGGCTGTTAGCCATATTCTTTAAAGTTTCCAAAGATATACTTACTTTCTGAGAGCACATCGTGAAGTTGTTCATGAGGACACTAAATGTAAGTATAGTCATTTTTTTTCTATTCTCTTAGCCAGATAAAAATTAGTTGTTGTCTAGACCATGCCCCATCCATGCAGTGCTTTTTGAATGCCTACTCTGTGGGAGAACCAAATTCTGGGGTCAGAGGGGTGACCACAATAGGCCCTCATTAATTTTACATTCCATACTCTCATTAATTTTACATTCCATCAAGATAAAATTAGCCAGATTAAACAAAGAAGGCCATTACATAGTGATAAGGGGAGCCGCCCATCAAGAAGATACAACAATTGTAAATATATATGTACCAAACACCAGTGCACCTAATTTCATAAAATAAACACTATACAACATAAAGGGACACCTAAGTCCCAACATAATTAGAGTGGGGTGAGTTCCACTCTCACCAGTATATATAGCCATCCAGACCAAGAAAATGAACAGAGAAATATCAGAGTTAAACTACATCATAGATCAAATTGACTTAACAGATGTCTACAGAACTTTCCTCCAACCACTACAGGTTATACATTCTTCTTAGCAGCTCATAGAATGGTCTCCAAAATAGATCACATCTTAGGCCGTAAGGCAAGGCTTAACAAATACAAAAAACTGAAATAATTTCTTCCATCTTTTCAGATCACAATAGCATGA